TTGCAAAAAAATTTGATGAATTTCACCAAAAACTAAGGGTCTATTCTCTTTACCCTTTTTTGTTTTTTATTTTTCAAAACAGTGAAAACGCGTTCTTTTTTCTATTTTCGAAAACACGTTTTTAAAAATAAGTTAAAAATTTACAAAGAAAATTTAAAACGATTCAGTTATAATCAAGCCAAACTTTACAAAACGCGTTATGGGTGTTTTCAAAACAATTTTTCAAAATACCAAAAAGAACACATTTTCAATAATCTCAAAATGAACATTTAAAATAAAAAACTTAAAATAAATTCAAAACTCAAAACACAAAATTGAAACACAAAGAGAACAACACCTGATAGTTTCTTGATCTCTAATCGAGAGTACCGATTAGCACTCAAATAGTGTTTCTAACTTGAAAATGTTTCGTTTAAACTTTAGCAATAGTAATATTTCGGACTTGAAAATATAATAGTCATGTGAATCGAATAGATCTTGCAATGGTAATATTTCGGACTCGAAAATATTCTGCGGAGAATTTTTGTCCTTCGATAAAAAAAAAATTGAAAAAAAAAATTAAAAATATAAAAAAACATATTCGATTCCCAATTAATAAAATGCAGTGGAGCTCTAACGTCGTTTTCGACTTTAAATCTGGTCTATTAAATATACAATTAATTATTATAAACTGTTGTCCTCTTTCTTTTGGTATAGTCTAGGGACCAGTTTATTTCAGTGGTACTCCGGCGATAAAAGCAAGGAGGGATTTTTATTTTATGAAGATTTTTGGACAGGCATTCAAATTAAAGAGTCCACGTCATTCGTGAAGTCATGACTCGAATCCAGTGGAGTCTGATTTAACTATAATTGTCTTTGAAAACAAAATATTATAATATTAATATAAAAGCTGTAGAAATGAAATAGGTTTTGTTTGAATTTGCATATGTGATAACAAGAAATGATTACTTGTACATGAATTTTGATCTATAGAAATTTACGTTCATCGATAGAAAAAAGAAGAAACGATCTGGGAAAAATTGCGAGGTCGGTGCAGAGATTTTTCAGGAGTTGGTAAGTGAAATGTGGAAGTAACTATAGAGGCAAATTTAGTGGATTTCTTGCCATTTATAAAATGGTTTGAATTAAAGAATACGGAGAACGAAACCTGTATAATTTTCATAAATAAGTGAGAACGAAATTGAACACAATATATTTTCCGTGACTTTACATCAAGTTAATCATTTTATCTAAAAGTTTAAAACTGTCTATGAGGATTACAAGTATTAATTTGAATATTCTCTTGAAGCAAACTTTTTAACCTTAGCCAAAAATACATGTGCACTTCTTATATATGCATAAATTGATCAAACTTTATGTGTAGAATTTTCTTGTAAACTTCATCTTGCATTCTTGATAGGTTTTAGTCCATGGAGGAACTCATACTACACTAGTGACAATGGAGTAGGCCTTGTCACCTTTGCTTGACAATCCATATATTTCAAGCAGAGCACAAACTGATATCGACAATCTCGTGGGAAAAAAAGTCTCATCGACGAATCGGACATGGTGGAACTTCCCTATCTTCGTTGCATTGTGAGCGAAACCCTACACCTACACCCAGTAGGCAACAGCGTCGCTCGTCTCGCCTCTCGTATTATCGGACGAGTGCACGGTCGTTGGTTTCCGCATCCCACATGAAGATACCGTAATTTATCCACAATGCATGAATCGAATGTAATACAAAATTGTTTGTAGTTATGCTTTTTTTTTTCCTCGTAAAGCTAGAAATTGAATTTTTGAAATTAATCTAGAGTAAATTTTAAGTTTTTGTGCAAGAACATGTACTGTTAATTATAAATAAACATTGAAAAACTTGTTCAATTATAGGGACAATTTATTTATACAACTTTAACATTTTTCAAGTTGACTGACTTAACAAGAGTCGACATTTTTCGAGTTCCGACTAAATATTTTTGATTTAGGCTGGTTCGTAAATTTTTTTTTTTTTTTTGGCTTTTATGTATGGAAAATTGTGCGAAATTAAAATTATATCAATGGTACTTCACTTCACTTAAATCGAATTTTTATTTTTATATATTTGTACTATCTCTATGTTTCTTCCATATGTGTGAATTTCTTGTAAATACTATTGAAATTTGTCCCATTTGAATATGATTTATTGAATGACTTGCAAGTGTGGGAAAATAGTGAAATATTTAATTATTATATTTTTTTTCTACACTAAAAGCCATGATTAAACTCTCGAGTTCGTCCTAATTCTCGTTTATTTAGGTCTTAATTCTTGAACTTGTATTTAAATTGAGCTAACTTTCCTAATATCACCAGGACTTGGATTCTTCTCTTGCTTGCATGCATGCTATATATATCTCTGGCTTCATCAGAATTCCTTTTTATTTTTAAAGAAACCATTAATCTGAAAAACGAAAACAAATTTCAAGTTTCATCAAGATGAGTTCTTCAATCCCACAAAACGACGATCAAGTAGAAGTAGTACAAGGATTTCCTATTTCTTCTAACGAACCCTATGTCGTTTATGGCTTCCCTGTCATGGCACAAGCACAACCCCAGTTCATCAATTCTATCGAGTTCAACGCAGGCCGAGCAACCCCTTCGACACTGGAGAGTCAACTAGAATCCCAGTCACATGATAATATAACCCAGGGTTTATGCTCGGATACTTGTTTATCCATCTGTAATTTTATGGTTATTTTTTTAGTCATGGGACTCTTCATATTTTTTTTGTTATTTACGTCCTATGCCCGTGATCCGATTTTCGACGTCGAATCTGCATCAGTATCAATCTTGAATAATACTTCTAGTTGGAAGATTGGAATTTTGACAAGGAACCCTAATAAGAACTTTGAATTTAATTACAGCGAATTTGATGTTAGGGTTTCTTGCAGAGGTGAATACATGTTTGGAACAAAAACTATTGCTTTTAATTCAATTGCAAAGAGTGAGACATTGTTAAATGCAACTGTAGTTGTCCCATTGGCCAATATAAGTGATTTCATAGCCAATCCCTACCCAGATGGAGTTGTAAACATTGATGTGAATTTGAAGAGTTCTGTGGTTGTACAGAAGGCATCTCGACGACCTCAACAGACGAACATTAAAGTACTATGCAAGGATGTTAGAATTAAAGTTTCAGAAGATAAGAGAGATTGGCGTGCTGTGGTCGAAGGTCCAAAGAAGTGTTCTGTTAAGATGAGGACTCTGTGGTGATATTTTTGAATAATGTTATCTAAAACCAGATGTGTAATGTTAAAGCACCAATCTAGGTGACTACAATTTATAGATTCAGTTAAATGAGTCGTGTAACTTTACATTTAAAAGTATCATATGACATTAATTATCACATAAATTGGTGTTTAACATCGTTGTTGATGAACAGCAATACTCGATATTTTTTGATACTTTTGAGAGGATTCTATCAAGAATTATAATTTGTAGTTTTCTCCCCCTTTATTTCCATAATCCGCTTTTTTAATGCTTTATTCATATGCGGCACACACTATTTTATTTATTTTTATTATTTTTTTGCCCTTTAGGAGCCATTTTGGCCAGGCGTACTAAATGCTCACATCACTTGACAAATCGAGTCCTTGTAGGAAACGCGAGCTTGTAATTTGTCCTCGGTGCAATCAAATATACAAATAATTTTTCCATTAATTATATTAAGTTTAGGATATGCATGTCCAAAAATAAAATTGGAAAAGAAATTTATGGCTTGGGATTGGGCCTTGAATAAAATTTCTTGTATAGAAACTTTTGACAGAAGGGATGACAGATACACAAGTGACAACATTGCATTGGCTATGACAAATATATTTTTTGTCCCATCGCTTCTACACAACTCTTTTGTACATGTAGCAAAAATGTTGAACCTCTTCCTGACGCATTTGTTGTCAACGGCATTCACTAGTTTTTTTTTTCAATGGAGGGAAGATTTCAAGGGAGATGAAATAGACTGAGGTTATTGTTGACTTTTGTTAGACGAGTGAGACCTAATAAGTAATAACGATTATATTTTCAATTTTAATTGGATTTTAAGCCCTACAAAACATGCTCTGAATAAAATTTCAAAAATCTTAATAGATATAAGTAATTATCACCAACAAAATTAATGCAGAAACAGGGGGTTTTCAGTATATATATCCAAGAATGCAGCATGTGCACTATGGAAAGGAAGTAAAAACCTACACATTTTAGAAATCATAATTCAACCTGTCATCAGTTTTTAAAGTAAATCCTAATTCCAATTCTCACCATCAAACCACTTAAGCGATGGCATTAACTTAAACAGAAGTAGTTTTAACTGATCACTAACTACTGCATTTCCCAAAATATCTAGTTGTATCAAATTCAAGTCCCGGAAAATAAAAAATGCATCCCAATGATTTGTCAAATCGACACCTACATTTGCGAATTCCTCAAAACTCCAATCATTTTCGACTGCATGTGTCATGGGAGATGAGCACAAATACCTTCTTGTGTCGACGGAGTGAGCACCAATCTCATTGTATGAAATGTCTAATACTTCTAGAGATTTCAGCATTCTTAAGGGATCCAATGCAGCAAAACTGCAAATTTTATTGTTGCTAAGGTTCAAGCAAGAAAGCAATTGCAGAGCCTCCAAACCTGTCAAAGAATCGAACAAAAAGAAAAAATACAAAATGAAGAAGTTAGTTTCCTCACCACTACAAACAAGTAAAGATGTATCGCAAAATATCACTACAATACGTAGAAAGGCAGAGAGAGAGAGAGAGATAAGGAGAATGGAAGTACTGAATATAACAAGTCAATGACTAAACTATTCAATACTCAATAATAGCAGTCCTATATACATGCAAAACTTCTCACCGAGAATAAAAACTTGCTAACAATGAGAACAAACCAAGCCTTATTCTCACCAATTATTAGTTTTCTAACGATCTAGTTGCTTTAAATTTCTTTTAGATGTAGCATTGAACCGAAAGGAAACTAATGTTTATACAAGAATATCGAGCAACTTCCAAATTTATGATCACCAAGTCTGTATTTTTGGAATGTAAACTCCCTCATTAGGATTGCAATTTTGGCTATGAATCAACCTCTATTATCTAACCTCCTATGTCTATAACTATTTAAATTTATAAAATGAATTAAATTGAAGAATTTAAATGTATTTCTTGCCATGCTTTCTCCTAACTCAGCAATAGATTTGCTCCATAAATTGGAGGATGATGCACCTCTGTGTGTCAAACCTATGATTTTACAAGAGGCATTTTGATGAATATGAGTATTCAAATTGACATATGTGATAAATGTGGTCTTATAACACAACTGGAAAGACGACTAAGAACTATATGACAAGTGATTGGTCTAGTCAATTCAACCCATGAGTCATGACAATAAACTATTGCCTCTTGCTTGAGGGGGAAAAAAAATAAAAAATCGGGAATAGAGTCAAGCAGTTAATATTAAAGCCTTTCTTCCCCTTTTCCTTTATTAGGTGAATATCCCCATATATCAATGTACAGATTCACATCCCAGCTAGTAACTGCCAATCAACGAAGTCTGACAATGATAGATCAATGCCCCAATATTTAAAAGATGCAATATATGTGTGTATTATGCAATTACCTTCAATTGATCGGATTTTGTTGTGGCTGAGATCTAACATTTGAATCCACAACAATTGCTCAACATTCCCAATTCGCGACAATGAGAGATCATTGAGTCGAAGACAGAAATGAGAATCCATACTTGGTGACGTTGAATCTCCATATTGATGGTAGTATCTCAGAATAGATTCCATACTCAAAGTCACCTGCAAAATCATCACTCAATTATCAGAAGTTTAAAGCAGAAGTCACTAATTCGTGCCTGTCCATATAAGACATGCTCTTATGCAACTTACACCCAACAAGAATCTGTAATGAAAAATTGACATTTATGAAACACGGCATATTTACGGTATAAAAGGATTTCATTATTGGACCCAAAATTTTCGAAAGAATTGATGCATCCACGATATTTGATTCAGACAGCATGATGTCACCCCCTCAAACAGGAATATTAGTCTCGTCGAAACCATAAACTGCAAATAAGCAATGCTTCGAGTATTTCTCTTTCCTAACCAAAGTTCATGTATTCCGGGTCCCCAGCTTCATTCATTGCAAGTAGCATATATAAGCGCTCAACAGTTAACAAGAAAAAGGAAAAAAAAAAAAAGCAGCTGTAATCTCTTGAAGGAAATAAATTTGAACTTGAACTTGAATTCCTTTTTAATTCTATAATAAACAACTACATGTCAAACAGAAGTATATCAAGAGGCCACAATTTGCAAAGATAGTAAAGCTCGGAAATTTCAAGAAATAATAATTTATATATAATGGGTCGTGCCTCCTTAATGCTCAATAAACAACTTTAATTCAACATCTGACAGCTAGATTATGGTCCCATATTTAATAAAAAATAAGTAACTACCAAATATGCAATGGAACAATATATCTACATGCAACAGTATCTTTTCCAAAGTAACAATACCAACTACCAAGAAAACGAGAGAGTCACCTGTTTCAATAGGACTAAGCTGTACTCATCCTCATAATAACAAATATGTACAGGGTCCAACTCCATCAAATCGTGATACAATCCAAGAATTTCTTCGTAATGGACCTTCATTCCATCATTTGGGAGACAATATGAAATCAATTTGCTTTGTGCCATCAGTAGTCTTGCAAGAGTCAGTTTCCCAATTTTACTACAGGGAAAAGAGAAAAATGACCAAACTTGCTAAATAAATCGGCTTCTCCAAAGACCCCATGTATCTCATAAAATGAATCCAGCTTACCAGTTTGTTGATGACAATAGTTCTCTGTAGTGAGCAATTTCGTTGGCTATGGTCTTCATACTCCAATCAGATGCCTTTGATTTACCCTCAGTCATTTTTAATTTATGAAGTGGATTAAGCAAGCTTGCATCATGAGATCCTGTAACATGTGGGTAGAATTTTTCGTTTTTCCATAAAATTCTCGGTATGGTTTGCCCCTCTCTATGTTCTCGATCATGGGAAGGTATGCACAAAGAGAACTCTATATACGAAGTCTGACTAAAGGATATACCATTTGAGGATACAATACCCGGAAACTGTGCTACGACAACTTTAACAGGGATATCCTTTAGAGAGTGCACTTCATCAGGAAAGTTTAGGTAAGTTAACCAGGCTTGGGCACAACCAAATTTATTTGCTGAAAGTGGTCTCCAAATAACATTATCATTAGAATAGTATTCATACTCAATAGTGACGGTAGAAGAGTTTACACCTTCAACTGCTTCACTGAAATATAGTACGATTGGAAACGTTCTATCTTTAGATTGGAAATGCATCCTTGGAAATAAATTTCCACCATCGAAGTAATCATTAGCTGATAAATATAGACTAGAGCCATGAGGAGGCCATGAAGAAAGTAGGAGGGGCTCCAGTTTAACCGTTTGATCCAGAAGCCAAAGATGATAAAACCAACCACTTTGATCATCCGGATCTGTAAATAGAGCATTACGTACAAACTCAAATTCCTCTTCCAAAATGCTCTCTTTGTGACTGTGTCCTTTTCCTCTTTTCTCGAACAGATGAGACAAAAGCACACTGGAAGTTCATTGATGAAAAAAATAGAGGACATTGAAAATAAGTATACCATATAACAAAGCTCATATAGATGGAAATTGAAATCTAACAAAAATAGGAGTCAATGCATTAATACCTTCTGTTATGCCATGCAGAATAATTGCTAAAATTATCGTATATCATATCCGTCGTGTATTGCAGTTCCTCCTCATCCGATATCTTCTTCAACGTTGTTATGAACCTGGAAGTTGAGGCCCAATAGAACACATCAACAAATGCAGCTAACAAATAACTCTCAAGAAATGAAATGTTCAGTTATTAACCTCCTGTAGTTCCAGGCATGGAAATTCCGGGAGTCCAACTTCTGAAACTTGCCCAAAAGCCGCAATTCCTTGTCCGTGGAAGAATGACCCTTGCTTAGGACCCATTTGCGATGATACCACGCACCATAAGACTTAAAATTGTTCTTCAATGCATTTTCCACCTAATGAAAATTCATATAAACCGATTAATGTGGAGTGCATTCAATTTACTCAATGCATTTTCTAGTCAGTGAAAACTCACGCTACTGATTACTGGGCTGCATAATCAATTTATAATAGAACATACATATTGTAAACATAAAATTATACAGAATCTACAAATTAATTTCCCAAAACATACTCGACCCTCATAAAACAACTGAAGTGGAAAGCGGATGAAAACTTACAACTTTCAATTCTTCATTTAGAACCGATTGGATAGACTCTGAATCAACTTCGGTCTCTGACTGGTTATTAAGAAAGTGTTGTACAGCAAGTTTTCGGTAATTCCAACCAGTATAATGCTCTGGATTCACTTCTAACAATTTTGCACTTGTTTCTAAAGCTTCTTTTGTATATCTGGAATTCAGAAAAAAATCAATCAAGCCCCTAAATTTACTGATTATAGATAACGAATACTAAAAAAAAAATTACTAACATTTTGTTATGATGTAGGTGAAGGAACTGAGATTGGAGATCACGAAGTTCGGCAGCTTTTAGGGCTGAAGCTTCTTGCTCTTCTTGACTTGGGGTTTTACGGGATATCCCGTGCATTTTACTGTATCTCTTTCTTCCTTCTCCAACTTCTGTTATTTGGATCTAGCCAATCCTCAAGAAGACTGGGCAAGAAAACCCTCTCGTAATCAGAGAAATTGCATCTGTAGTCCCCGAAGTTTGGTTCATTAACGACTAGGTTCCTAACCTATACTTTTTTATCGTGTTTATTGAGAATAAAATTTCTGTATAGAAAGAACTTCCCTGTTTGGCAGTGATTCTTTCAAATTCATTTTTGTCTTAAATTTTTGGGCTTCATTAAAATGTGTTTTTGGAAAAAATGTATTTTGAATTAGTGATTTTTTGAAGAATGAGTGGTTAAAAGAAGGAAAAATTTTGAATTTACGTAAAATATTATTTTATTAAAAAATATGTGATTAAAAAGATGAAAGAATGCATCTTTAGATAAAATGATGCCGAAACTTCAACCGTACACTCATTTCATATTTACATTGGTTTAAAAAAGCGTTTGCTAGATATTGCGAAGAAAATTTATCAAACCAAAATCAAAATCACAGTTCGAGTTTGGATTAATTCTAGTAATTACATGAACCCTAATGATTTCATTAACAAAATATGATGATTTCGAGCATTGAAATACTCGGACCGATTTGCCCAACATCCGAACCTAACTCCTTACTTATACATTACTAGAGATGAATATTGAACGATATTTTCATTACTACGGAAACGTCAACACAACATAAAAAATAAACGTCATTCTTATATAATGTCGACATGGACAAGAACAAACAATAATTTTCAGAAACTTTGAGATCATAAAAGATACCAGAGGGAAAAAAACAGAATAAAGAGAATATGATAAAATAAAAATCATATCAATAACTAAAAATAAATTCATATTTTTAAAATTTGTTAAGTATAGCCATTTGAAACCAATCTGCCATGCTTGCTATCATCTTCTTCTTCTTCACAACATAAAAAGGCGCGCTTTTCCTTCTGAACTTCCTCGGTAGATAAATCCTGAAATTCGTATATACTATAGTATATCATCGCTTTCTGCTGTAGTTATTTCCAAACACTGCAGAGCACGAGGTGGAATACGTCCAGTAGGTGTACGCTTCCTATCCTTGCTGAATTTTCTAGCCCATCCATAACTTCAGAACTCTATCCCTGCCACCAGATGCTACTTTCTCACCATCAGGACTCCAGTCGACTGCAAAAACCTGGAGAAGAAAAGTTTTTTAATTAGAGCTTCTCGTCCCCCACCACCCCAAGTAGAAATGCAAGAAAGCCCCCAGAGGGACGTTGTGGGAGGCATTAGAGAGGATAAACATTACTTCATCTGCATGGCCAGGAAGGTCTTGTTTCAACTTTTGCGTCCGGATATCCCAAATCTGTTAAAGAAAATCACATAATGATCATTTAATCGCCATGAAATATGAAATTAGCATTGTTAGCATCTATGGGAATGATTTTGCAAAGGCCACTCCATGAACGTTGATATAATAAAAGATAAAGAAGCAGATTTTTTAGCAAATAGAATAGCAAAATCACCAGGGAAGTGACCCATGTAAGAACCGAAGTTTTATGAAATTGATCAATATGTTCTGCTTACCAGCGTAATCGGACATTTTCTCTTAAATGGTATTCTTAACCACATAATAAATTTCAAAGAAAAGAATTAAACCCAGAAGTAATGAAGAAAAACAGTTGAATTATCTGAAGATCCCTTGCCTTTAAAGTTGAATCTTTGCTCCCACTCAATAGCAACCTACTGTCTGCTGACCAGCTGTAGCAAGAAAAGTGCTTTTTAGCTATACAAACTGCACTGGATAATTATATAGAGAAAAATAATTCTAACCTTATTTGATAGACAGGCCCAACATGACCACGAAATGCAGCAACGAACTTTCCTGTAATACCATTCCATAACTTGACTGACTTGTCAAAGGAGGCACTTGCAATCCATTGCCCATCAGGTGAAAAGTAAACATGATTGACGAGCTGCAGGGGAACAAGTTATGGCTCAGAGAGTCAGCAAGAGAAAGAATCTCGGACAAGTAGATACTTCTTGGGTCATAATACTAAGAAAATAACAGAATATATATTTCTCCGGCCTGTTAATATGTAATTAGCATTTAGACTTCTTGTATACTTGAGAATTCTAAACCACTCCAGATTTCTTTCTTTGTGCATGCAGAAAGCTACAGAAAGTTAAGCACTGCAAGCCAATAGTTCTGCTATATTCAGGTGATTTTGACTGGGTCAAATAGCCACACCTCTGCCACCATCACTAATTTTCTTACCCCAACCAACAAATGACATAATACCATTACTGTCACCAACAGTAATGCAAATTACAGCAGGGTGATGGTATCCTAGTGGTGTGACACAAGGAAATGACAAATTACTGTCACCTACATCCACCCGGGCCCCAGTTTTACACTTCTACATGTTTATGGAGGCCAAAATAATTTTTTGATCTAAAACATATTCGATGACGTGGTAAAAGAACGAGACGCCACTAATATGCAATCACCCTTTTGGAGTGTTGAAAGTTCCACCCAAATAAATATCAGGGATAGCAATAATCATGTATTGCAACAAAACCATAAAGTATAGGGATATTTAATATGATACCTGTTGATGACCAGTCATACGAGTTTTGGGGTGTTTGCTGACTGCAGGTTCCCATAAAAACATGGTAAAATCATCTGAACCTGAGACCAAACGTTCAGGAGCATTGCCCTTCATTTTCTTATACCTTTCTAATGCTACCTGGAACCACAAAAATCAATCAAAAAAGGCATTCGCTTGAGGTAATCTTAGCTGACAAGACAACTGTTTTCTTTACTTTGAGTTGAAAGGATGGGGCAACTGAGTAAGGGCAGAGAGCATCTAGGAAGTAGGATGGGCAATGCTACAAAACTATTGAAATTTATAAACTACCCTCAGTTTTTCGTGAGAGGAATAAGAATAATAATGCCATTGTTTTTATTGGAATTATTATAGCAGGTTAGATGAAATGAAGCATCCATATAGGATATCTGTGTGAAAAGAAGAAACCTACAAGGTTAAAAAGTCAGTTCTAGAGGACCGTTATTAGACTGGCTATGCTTTATGGAGTTGACTGTGGGCTGTTAAAGAACAAAATACTATAAGATGAACATAGAAAAAAGAAAATGCTAAAATGTGTTGTAATATAGAATGCAGAAGATAAAAAATGAGAATGTACACAAGCAAGTGGAGGTGGCACCAAATTAGGATAAATTAAGGAAATGACAACTAGGGTGGTTTGGAAGTATCAAGCCTAGACTTTTATAAGAACGATGTGATATCAGTACAACCAGTTAGGAGATGGAGATATAGATCAAAACTAATCCAGTTGAGGTAGCTAAGAATCTGGTTGCATTGATCTACCGATAGATGTAGCAACAAACAATATGGAACAAAGATTCATGGAGCTAACCCCAAATTGATTGCGGCAAGGCTCCTTTGTTATATAATTTGTAGAAAAAGAAATGCATAAAAAGGCAAATCATTACAAAAAGAAAATGGATAAAGTCATATCATCAGTCATTTCTTTGCCTTTAAGATTCCAAAGATCAAGCAATTACCTTCTTCATTTCCTCTGGAGATGAATATTGCTTACAAGTGTGATCATAGGCACCAGTCCGAAGAACGTATTCTGTGCTCAACGCCAGACTATTAACCCAATGCCCATGGCCCTGTATTTAATGTGAAAAAATCAGAAAACAGTAACCGAAACAAAAGGATGTGATCGGGTTAAGGAAGAGAAAATAGAAGAAGCAGCAAAGTCACGTGGACTAAGGTCTAAAATTCTCAAACAATGATGCAGTCAATACATAGACGATATAAACCTACGGTGATGATTTCACAGGAATGTAAACAGGTAAATTAGAGAGAAGATATTTAATCCAAAAAAACCTAACAAGGTTCGAAAAAGAAGGAATAAAAAAAGAGTTTAAAAAGGAAACAAAAAGTTTAGAACTTCATGAACAAAGTAAATTAAAATGTTTTAGCGTGTACCTTCAATTCACGTATTAACTTCCCTTGTGAAGTTTCCCACATTTTAATTGTACAATCCTGAGATCTGCAAATGTAAAATGAAAATAGTTTACATATTGAATTCTGCTGAACATATCATAGACCAAGTATTTAGGCCCCTCTTTATATACTCCATTTCAGAATAGGACAAGGGAAAGAAGAGGGGCCACAGAACAAAGACAGGTAGAAGAAAATATTCCTTCGATGATCAATTAAAATTCTTGTTCTTAATTTCCTATTGCCTATTTTGGGATTGCCATTGAGATTAGGTTTAGACAGACGGCAAGCATTTCTTTCCTTCTATAGACATTTTCTACACCTTAACTTATAACAAGAAAAAAATGCATTACTTAGCCCTTGATTGAGCACCCATTATTTAAAATTTCATTTTTCTGTGAATTCATTTCCAATCACATATTCTCCCAATAATATAATTTTACGCACAAATCCAAAACTTTTCCCCACTTTTTAACCGCACATTCTCCAAAAAATCACTTTTACAAAATATATTTTCCTAAAAAATGGTCCTCAAATAAACCCTTAATATTTCTCTCAATCAAATAAATGAATTTATTGGAACAAAGACTAGTGGTTTTATCTTTAAATTTGTCATGCAACGTTGTCGAAGCAATAGCAGAGGATTTTCATGCGAGTATAATAAGTTTTCAAGTGGGTATTATGACCTGAAGAAGAGATCAAAGTGGCATAATGTTCACATGGAAAGAACTTACTTGTAGTATATTACATTGCCTTGAATGGAACAATTAAGATATATTGATATGACATCCCCATTTTTTCAGTAAACCAAGAGCTTTGGATCAAACACTCAGATTAGGACTACTATTCAGTACGAAAACTTATCTTGCAAGAAATTGCTCATAAATTGTAATCTTGAAGAACATACCCGGTATATATTACTCCATCTCCACCCCATTTAACACAGGTTATAGCAAGAGTGTGTCCAGTAAGACACATAACACATTTCCTCAATGAAACATCCCATATTCTTGCATCACCATCTTTACTTGCACTCACAAAGCGACGACATGGAGCATTAAGATGCACTGGCTCCCATGAAATCCCAGTTATCCATTTCTTGTGGCCCTGAGACATAAATCGTGTCATTAGGTTACAAGGTGAAAATTTCAAGAGAAGTGAAGAAATGAAATATAGGGAAAGGAATAATGGCATCCCAAAATATCGTTAGAAAACACAGGGACTTGTAAATTCAATTAACATGAATACATGATATATTATGTTGTCAGGGAAATAGAATTGTGGTGAGATAATATTAATAAAGCTTCTGTTATCATCTTCTCTTTAGTCTATATGTATGGGTAGCACCTTCGCCATCATAAACAAGATTGCTTACTAGATAGTAAAATGAGAATGTAATTTTTTGTTTACAAATACTCACTTTTCTTAAAGGTGACTAAAAAGTTCTCACTTTGCAAAAGTAATGCTTTGCGCACACAGATAAGACAGTTGCGAAAAATTAAGATGTAGCAGATCAAGTGTGAGAGATTCAAAACACATTTATCAGTATGAGATTATGAGGACAACATTTAGAATATTGAAATAATATTTTACTGAAAAATTATTATATGAGCTCACAATAAGCGGATTGCCAGATGGCTTCCCAGTCTGCGGGTCCCAGCATTGAAGTTCTCCAGCCTTGCTTCCACTAACAAGATGTCTACCATCCGGTGACCATGCAATACAAAGTACCCAGTTCTTGTGGCCTGAAGAAAGGGGAAGTAGAACACCACGAAAAGCATCTCTTCAGTAGCAACTCGTAACAAAAATATACAGAAGAAAGGAAAGCAATGGCCATAATTGAAACTTGAAACAACCGAACAAGGATACAAATAACTCTAGAGCCACAAGCAACAAAGAACAGTATATAATAAGATGTTCAATTTGAAAAGTAGAAGGCAGAAGCACAGAAAGTGGGAAGGTATGTTTGTGCATGCATGCGTGCGTACATGTGCAAATGCTCCATAATTCAGAAGCTTCCATCTAAGAAAGTAAAAAGTGATCACCACCAAAACAAAGAGATACTTTTCCAACATATTTGTAGGTTGAATAGGTTTATAGGATACAGGCCCGATTCAAAGTCCAAATTACAGAACCACACAGAAAAGGGTAATCCTGAAGTTATTAATCAAGCAATGAGGAACAAAGGAGTTAATAAGGAGCCTGAACATGTTCAAACAGCATCAAATTAGGTGAGGAGAATGCACAATGCATGCAGTTCACAGAAAATCATGTTTGTACACAATACAGTAAGTCATCACTGTCTAGTAAAATTTCACATCTTCAAAATAATCCATGTCAAATTGTTGAAGAAAGTTTAAACTCAACTACTTCTGCTGAATAAGGTTATGGCTCTTAAGAGAGTACAAAAGGTTGACTAAAATTCCTAGAACAGGAAACTAACTAAATGACATGATTCCTAGGATCTGATTGAATATTCTATGCAATACAATCTGTACATGGAAGCTATTATACAAGGAAACTAAATTAAAAATCTTCTAACAATCCAGATAAATATAACAAAATAGCTACAGGATTAGACGCCTTCTTATTTACCTGAACTTATCTCTCAAGAAAATGTGAAAATGTACAACACAGAGCCTTCTTATTTACCTTAACTAATCTCTCAAGAAGATGTACTGCACAGATTGTATACTTCCATTGGATCGCTTGGAAATAAAAGGTAAGCATGCAGGGCACGTAACTCATAAACAAGAAAACAAATTCTAACCTTTGCACGTGAATAATGGAGTCTGAGTATTTAGATCCCATAGACGAACAGTCGTATCACCTGATCCACTTGCCAACTGTCGCCCATCAGGACTAAAGGAAACTGAAAGTACAGACTCAGTATGACCTGCAATGAGAAACCCATAATACATGCTCAAAAGAAGTAACAAAAAGGTAGTGCATGATATGAGGCAGTCAAATAAATGTCTCACCAGAAAATGTACAGATGCAGATATTTATCACAAATATGTAATTTCTTTTTTATATAGGTAATTAGAAAATTTTATTAATCAAAAAAGAATATACAGGAAGTGTATTATCAGTTTAAACAAGAAAGAAAATGTATGAAGTTAGACAGCCCCTCTATAGGATTACTAGTCTCTGCATTAAACCAAATATACAAAGTATAAAATAATTTTCTAAATTGCTCAGTAATCCATATTTGGTTTTCAAAGTATCGGTTGTTCCTTTCCCTCCACACACACCATACAATGCATCTCAAGATAAGATTCCAAACTAACTTGCTATCTTTATCACAAAGTTTCCTTCTCCATGCCCGCAACACGTCCTCTATACGTCTAGGCAACACCCAATCTATATGTTGAGAAGCCAGAATACTATTTTACAGCCAACGGACACCGTCACAATAAATGAACAAGTGGCCATGCGTCTCCCCATCGCTCCTACATATATAGCACCACTCGATAACATAGAAACCTTTTTTCGGAGATTATCCATCGTCAATGTCTGTTCCCTCACAACCATCCACAGTAAAAATGCCACACGTGGGGACAATTTGCAATGCCACGTCATCATCAAGGAAATGAACTCTCCACAGGTCCCAAGAGAGATATAAAATAGGAGAGAACTAAAAAAATACAATTTCGTGCCGGCCTCCATCAGCAACGATCATCCTCTCCTACCTGAAATTGCGCCTCATACAAATCTGTTAGAAACAATACATAGTCATCCAATTCTCAATCCTGCAAACCCCTCTGAAAAGTAATATTCTAACTGTAACTCCCATTGTGGATGGCTAAAACGTCATTCACCATAGCAGAAGGCATCATAGTAATGCGATGCAAGGAAGGAAACCCCAACTTTAGTGATATATCTCCATACCAACAACCATCCCAAAATCTGATATTATTACCATTCCCCACCACAAAAACATGATGGAGATTGATAATGTGCATATATGAGTAAGAGCACCACTGGCCCTCCCAAAAGTGCTTTCAAACAATAATATGACTATTTTTCTTATTTGTTTCCTTCCATTTTAAACACCGTAAGATATCCCCATAACTCCTCAAAATGTTTGAAGACACATATAACACAATAGAACTCTATTGGCCCATACTAGATGCTATGCAATATATTAATACGTAAATGCTTCAAATGGTACTTTCTAAAAAAAAATATTTCAGAAACGGAATCATAGACATATTTATTTTTTCAATACTGTACAAAGACATCAAGGAGAAGAGAAAGCATTGTGATGGTAAGACGTTAATAACTACATTTACAGGTATGCAAACAACTAGTGATTGACATAAAACTATGCAAAGCACTAGTGATGAAGCACTCTTCCTCCCTAAATCAATATTTCTTCTCAGGGATATATCATGAGTATAAATCCAGAGAAATGTAGGTTGCTACATTTGCACCTTGCTTGCTAAAGTGTTTGGACATAATTAAAGCACAAAATGCTTAAAAAATTGGTAACTGCAAGGCATAATTAAACGCACAAAATGAAATCTCATACCAGTAATAGTTGAAGAACAGCGAGTAACTGGACGTATTCGAAATACTGCTTGAGGCTGGTAAACTATAGTCAAGACCTTCTCCAGAGACACTGTAAAAACATTCACACAGGATCTCAGTTATTGTTTCTTATATAATTCCACACCAGGTTCATTTGGTAAAAAAATTATGATAATATTAGCTGGATTCCTCACCTTTGTTGTCCTGCAGGTACGAAACAAGTTGCACCACGAGCTCGTGGTTTGACACATAAAATGCATATGGCATTTTTTCCTCCTGATATAGATAAAAATCTCCGATATTTTAATCAAGCCTACCAAAATGTTATAGATGAAGAAATCCCGGCATCTACTGACAGTATAGTAAGGAGTACACATAACCCCATAGAACATAAAATTTATTTTTCTAACTTTATTAATGTTTCGTTGGTACAACAATCTAACTACATAATATTGTTTTCTTGTCTTAAAATTTGGCATTCTTCTTCATGCGAATCAAATTTTGGTGACTAGTCTATATATACCCAAAAAAAAAAAAGGATAAAAAAATATTTATCAAATTGTCTCCAAAATTTCAGTTTAAAATGCTCGAATGAAGCAAGCAAAATTAAACCTGGAAAATGCAATTACAATCAAAATGGAACTCTCCAAATTACAGGTACTGATATTAGTGTTTAATTTTTTTAAAATATCCACAATCTTTTCCAAAAATTAAGTGAGATTTTGCCAAATAAACTCCCAAATTGATTCAAAACCAACTATTCACTTAATTATAGAAAGCTAATAAACACGCAATTGAGTTTTCTTTTAAAAAAAAATTAATGAAAAAAACGTATAACTCTAGAAGTAAGTTCACAAAAAATTAAACACAATTACCTAAACTATCCTATTCAAAATTAAACCAAAAAATAGAGATAATTTACTATGAACTCAAAATATCATAAAAAGGCAAACTTTTTTTCAGCAGAGCTGTAATTACTTAAAAATTGAATTACAAAATAAGTCTTACATTGTTGAGGAGTTGATTGACTATTTGCTGAAGTTCCTTGGGGCCGGCGCTCTGCGGGAGGTACATCGACGGTCCCAGAGGTGTACCTTCTGGGTCAGTCAACTGACACATCACGCTGTTTTTCATGTCCTTCCCTTCTTCCATACCCGCTGCTTCTACATCCATCGCTGATTTTGAAATTCCGTTGAAACTATCTGCGTGTGCTTGTGAGCGGCTGAAGAACCGGGGTTTATCAGGGTTTTAAGCAACTAGTTAGGGTCTGTTGGGTAGTTTGGACTTCGCAATTATTAGCAATTTTTAAAGGCGTGTGGGTCCTGAGCAATTTTCAAAGTATTAACGTTTATGAGCGAATCGAAATGTTATTTTAATAGCAATTTTTAAAACTGTTCAAACTATCCTCGGGAGTTTATTATGCTCCTATTTGAGTCACATTATTTTTTTCATTCTCATTCTTCTACTCATTTTCAATCACACATTTTTTAATAAAATAATATTTTTCATCACATCAATAGCTTTTTCTTCTTTTTCAACCACATATTCTCCATCACATAAAAAAAAATGCATTTTTGGCTAAACAATGTGCACCAAACAGGAGCTATATAACGATTCTGAAAATATTTAATTTTAAAAATTAAATAAAGTTAAATATTTACTTAATTTTTTTTACCTATAAGTAAATCTTTTACTTATATAAGTAACTTTTTTATATTTTATAAGTTGATTTTTATCTTATTAGTAGTATTTTTATTTTGTAAACAAAACTTTTTTACATAAAAGTGATCTTTAATTATAAGTAATTTTTTAATTACTATGTAATTTTTCTTATCTTATTTTACTTATAAGTATTTTTCTTATATTTAATCATTTAGTTAATATATTTTTATTTATAAACTCGTTTTGAAGAAAATATGTTGGTTATAAATAATTATTTTATAAAAAGTAAAATTAGAAAAGAATATGAAAAATGGCTAAAACCCGCCGATTTAGTAAGTTGAGAAAATCGGCCAAAATTATACAACATCGATTTTGGGTGGTTTTTAAAGCCTTCCAAACGGTGCCCAAAAAAATTAATAAGCACCAATTTTTCCAACCCCTCATAAATAGTGTCACCCAAAATGGTGAAAAAAAATTCTCAAGCAGGCCTTTAAAGACGTGATAGGATTTAGAAGGGGTAAAATTGTAGTCTCGTCCCCAATCTTTCTAAGGGATTTCATATCCGTCCTTACATTTGATTTTTGGCACTAGTCATCCTATTCTTTCGAAATTATGCAGAAATCGTACCCAATTTGTTAGATTTTGCTGTTAACTTGCTCATGTGACCTGCACATGGGTTTTAGGAATGAAATTTTTTATAGATTTGACCATACAAGGCAAAGACATTTTAAACGACACATTTTACCTATTATACGAAAAAAAAAAAAAATGAAAAACGAAACCACAGCAAACCAAACCCCTCCCCCCATCTCCTTCTTTTCCAACACCTTCACCCGAAAACCAAAACCATTCCTACCTAGTTGTCGACTATCATCACCATCACCTCAACGACGAAACCACTCGTGACAGACTTTTGACCATTTGGTAACAATCAAGAATGAGAGCATAAAGCTTCCTTCAGTAATCAGTAGTAATGGCGTGTGCCCATTACTCTGTTGTCACTATTAACCTCCACCGTCGTCATCATTTTCTACAATTAATCATATCCTCGGAAGACCATTTTTTGTAGGGTGGTTTTGGTTTTGGGGTGAGGGGTTGAGGAAAAAGAAGACGGGGTTCGGAAAGAAGAAGATGAGAGTGGGTGGTTGTGGTTTTGTTTTGTTTTGTTTTTCTAATTAATAATAGGGGAAATGTGTTTTGTCCAAAATGTCTTTGCTTTATTTGATCAAAATTGTTAAGATTTTTATTTCTTAGGTCAACTAACGGTTTTTGGGGGGCCAAACTTACAAAAAGAGTCATTTTGGATTTCATCTGCGAATTTTTTTAAAGGTTTGGTACTTTAGGTGACACAAATGAAAATTTTAAGTCAAGTTTGCTCCTAAATAAAATGTTTGGTATATTGGCTGCAATTCTCCCTAGTTTTTATTTGTTAGTTGTTACACCACGTTTTTAATTGTAATTAAACTTCTCAATCTTTGCTCCTTGTAGAAATTATTTTCTTAATTTTTTCGTCGAATTTTTATTTTCAACATTCCATTAATTAGTAAATTCATTTTTTAGTGACCGTTTAATTCTCATTATTGTATAATGAGAATAAAAAATATAGTCATTATTGGGCCCCACACAAGAGATAGAAATTCAAAATTGATAGCTTGATGTAATGGATAACGGTAATATTTTTCATTTTTATGGATGAAAAATAAGAAACAAACGGAGATTTAAGATGATTTATGTCAAAATATTTTATTTTCATGCTTTTAAATGGTTTTTCGTACTTTTTTATTTATATAATATTTAAATATGATAGAAAAATAAGTTATTAAACGCTATTTCAACGGATTTCGTGGACATAAATTGTTATCAAATACAAAGTGTACTAACTAATGAAAATGCTATAATGACTAAAGATTAAGAACTTTATGTATAATTAAAATATAGTGCAATAAATAAAAATTATGGCGTAAATATAATTACCCTAAAAAAATAAACTTAATCTTCAGATCTGTATAGCAAATAACTCTATGCCTTTGGATGGTGGTTGTTGCCATGGTGGTTTGCGGGATAGGTGGATGGATGATGGCTTCTATTTTTCAGGTTTTGGAAATTACGGCGTGAATATGATTACCCTACGAAGATAAACTTCATCTTCAACTCTGTATAGCAACTATATGAATCATTACTAGTAACAGTGGAGGATTCAAGAATTAGATTCTAACTATTTTCACCATCAGCAGTTGAACTTTACTTTGTTAACGGACTGGACCAGAACTGAACAAATATCTTATGCTTTTCTCTTGTGTTGCTCATTGAATTCCTGGAAAAGAAAAACACAAAAGCCCTTTTATGGGTGCAAATGGCTTGGCTACAGCTCCAAGTCTTGGAGTGAAGAAACATGAAACTGAAATCATGTGGCCAATGCTCTATGCTCCAAACTTATGAACTTGTCATCGATTATAATCTAGAAGACAAAGCGAAATTGATCATTAGTCGTAATTTGAGCCATAATTTTTGAGACGAATATGAAATTTGTTAATCGTTTAGTTTGTTTGTTTCTATCCAATTCAACTAGATGGCAAGCACAATATGTAACAGAGTGAAGAAACATGAAACTGAAATCATGTGGCCAATGCTCTATGCTCCAAATTTATGAACTTGTCATCGATTATAATCTAGAAGACAAAGTGAAATTGATCATTAGTCGTTATTTGCGCCATAATTTTTTAGACGAATATGAAATTTGTTAAATCGTTCAGTTTGTTTGTTTCTATCCAATTCAACATAATATAGGTATTGTTTTAAATTAAATGGAAACTTATAATTAAAAGTATCAAAATGGACGGGTCATTTCACCCGTGAGGATTTTCTTTAGATAGAAGCTCTTTTATGGGGTCCATATATTTTAGGATTTGATTAGCACTACAAGCTATCAATACTTTTTTGTGTATTTTGAAATACCGTTATTTAAATTTGTATGCAATTGTTCATTGATTTAACCAATAATCAATAGTTGAACCAATGACCCAACAAGTCAATTACGGTCATCTCTCACTAGCCCATTTGAGTTATTTTCCACTAGTCACTAGTCAATGGTCCAATGAGCCATTGCGCACAAACCACCTCCTTCAATGCACATTATTCTCATAAACGGCTGAATCACCTCGACCACACTATGTAGCTATCCCGACCATCACACACATTTCTCACACAAAGATACCCGCTTTTATTTATTTAATCGAGGCCAAAATGGCTAAAAAGCCATTTAAACAGTTTCTCAACAATAACTCTATTCCTTTTTTCCTAAAAATAAATTAGCTTGTATTATTAGTATTTACTCTTATCTTATTTAAGTAGTCAATTGCTTTTTAAGGTTGTGTATTTTTTTTTTTAACTATCTAACCTTATTGCTCAATTTTGAAATAAAAGATGATAATCTAATTTTAAAATGTTAACCCAAAGAATGAAAATAAACGTGCAAAAAGTCCAAAAGTTGGGGACTATCGTGCAAAACTCCTAAAAATTGCATAGGTAGGGTAAATAGAAAATAGAAAAAATAAAATAAAATAAAATTGAAGGCAAACAAGAAACGAGTTAATTTAATCAATAGCTACTGAACTTTGCTATAGTTACTACTTGTTCATAGATCTTTAAAAAATTACTTTTTGTTCACTGAACTTTGCTATGTTATTGCTTATTCACTGAAATTTAAAAATTTACTCGTTGTTCACTTGAATTTGATAAAAAGTTACTCATTTTTCAATGAACTTTGTTATACTTAACAATTGTGGAAACTTTGCGAGTGATTAATGAGTAACTTTATTAACATTTAGTGTTTGTTTGGTAGAAATTTTTGGGGTTAGAATTGATTTTTGAATAGTGATATGATGGGAAATGTGTGGTTGAAAAAGAAGAAAAAATTATTGATGTGATGAAAAATATTATTTTATTGAAAATGTGTAGTTAAAAATAAGAATTGATTTACTGTAAAATTTGAGAATAAAAAACAGACTGACATTAGCAAAATTCAATAAAGAAAGAGTAAGACTTTGAATTTCGATCAACAAACACCAACACACAGCAAATTCAAATATTCAATGAACAAAGAGTAAGCACTGACAATGACAAAATTAACTCACCAAGAAACACTCTGTGAAGGCGACGAGATACGTTGTACAGCGCAATTCGATTTTCCTAATTCAGGGATCCATTCTTCATTCTTGTCACGGCATATCAGAAATGGCTTCCAGAACTGCTCAAAGAGGTAAGCTTCCATCAATATTTATACACCCACCAAAATCCAAATACCCAACTCAATTTCAAACCTCAACGCCACTTAAAAAGTTCAAAAAAGACTGTAGATCAAGCACAACTATCGACACCAATGATGCATTGACCTCGTTTAATAACATGCTCCAAATGAAACCCTTGCGTCCCGTTCATCATTTAACAAATTGATAGGCGCTGTTGCTAAAACCAAGAATTGCCAAGATGTGATTTTTATGCACCGTAGGATGGTTGAAGCTGAAATATCACCTGATTATACTACGCTGAATGTTTTGCTCAACTCTTTATGTAACTTTAATAGGGTTGCTCTTGGTTTTTCTGTTATGGGTGGGATTTTGAAGAGGGGTATAGTCCTGGTATTATTACTTTTACTTCATTGATTAATGGGTTGTTTATGGAAGGTAAGATTAACGATGCTATTGAGCTGTTCAAGAAAATAATTGGGATGGGTTTTCAACCGTCTATCAGGACTTGGGGGACTCTGATTAAGGTTGTGTAGGAGTGGAAATGCAGAGGCGGCGCTTTGCTAGCATAAACAAGTGGGGAACGGGAATGGAGGAAGGTCTTATTTAATATTTAAGCCTAATTTGTTTTGTTATAGCATGCTTATTGATGGACTTTGTAAAGAGGGGTTGGTGGACAAGGGCAAACAATTATTTTGGAGATGAAGGGTAGGGGAATTATGCCAAACTTGGTTACATATAGTGGCTTAATCCATGGCTTGTGTCAGGGCAGTGAGTGGGAGGAGGCAAAACGGTTCTTCATTGAAATGGTGGATCAAGGCATTTGACCTAATGTAGTAACGTTTACTATCTTGATACAATTTCTTTGTAACGAGGGGAAAACTGACGAAGCAATTGGGTTGTTTAACTTGATGATTCAAAGGGATGAAGAGATGGATTGTTTTACATTTAATATATTGATGAATGGGCTCTGCTCAGAGGGTAGGATTGATGATGCAAGGGAGTTATTTGTTTTGATAGAGGCTAAAGGCCATAAGGGAGATGTTGTAAGCTACAATGTGTTAATTAATGGGTATTGCAAGTGTCAAAAATTGGAGGAGACCATGAGGCTTTTCAAAGAAATGGTGCACAAAGAATACACGCTAGATGTAGTTACATTCAACATCTTGTTGGATGGTCTATTTCAAATAGGCAATGTTAAGGATGCTCAGTCACTTTTTGCAAGGATGAAAGTCCATGAAGTGATTCCAACTTCTGGTACTTATAATATATTATTGTATGGATGTTTCAAAAATAATTGCCTCGCAGAGGCAATGAAGCTGTTTCACAATTTGGAAAGATCTGGTCTCAATTTTGGTCTTGACACCTATAATTATGTCCTTCACGGTTTGTGTAAAGCAGGACATCTTGATTTAGCCAGCGATTTGGGAAGTTGTCTCAAAAGGGCTTGAAACCAACAGATTTTACATATGAAGATGGAAAAGATAGGTTGTGCACCGTCTATGGTCAATTTTAACACGCTCATACGAGGATTTTGCAATCTTAGTGAGGTATCAAAAGTGGTTGAACTTCTTGTTAAATTGAAAGAGAGGAATATCTCCCCAGATGAAGACACGGTATCATTAGTTCTAGATATTTTGTCCAAACATCCAAATTCTTGGAAATATATAAGCTTGATTCCAAATTTTTCTGCCTAAGGCTGTATCAAAGATGTAATGCAGAGGAATAGGCAACTCCCACAGTTTCTCTTTGTTGACAATGCTTGCAATTTATGAGCACTTGAATCTATTGTTATGATGCTTTCTTTAACTTTTGTGCTGCAATGCCTGTAAAATCTTCTTCAATTGTACTGCAATCCTTGACCAAGTATTTTGAAGACATATATCTTTAGGAATAATCGTCGTTGAAATAAGTTCATTATGAACTTTGATACTTTAAGATGAAGCCATAGTGGACTGTTTTCCAGATCATATTGTTAAAGCTGAAGCTGTTTGTTAATTTCTAACTCATGAGATTGAAACGATAAGGAAATTCCAAGAGGTGCAGAAGGCGTTGGAGGTAATATGGTTTATCTTCATCCATATCTTGGCTTGTGAATTAGTGCATTAAAAATTTCTATTGTTGTAGTGAAACTAAATAATTGACAGGGTTTTGTATTAAGACCCGTGATTCATCTCCTGGAAGGTGCAACAACTTCTTTCCTTGCAATTATTCTCCGAGGAAGTCATTTAAGGAGATGGATCCAACCCTGATATAGTTTTTGACACTCGTCGTGTTTTTCTATCATGATAGTGGTAATCGAGGTCAGTCTATGATTTCAATGTTCAAATCTTAAATTTTCATTTGAATGCTTAGTTAATCCAGTTAATCCTTTTATGATGTGGGATGACGATTCGAAGATCAAGTTACATCTTTTTAATGATACAGGATTAAATAATCCCAAGTCTGGGTATTGCTGAATTTAGTGAGATCGAGGTATAAATTCTTGAACCTGATTGGTATATTATTACCAGCTTTCGGAAAAAAATCTGGAAGATTGTGATGGCTTAGTTGGGTGCTAATGAAAGCCATATGAAATTTCTAGAAGGAAGGAAAACTGCTTTAAAGCTAATTTTACTGATATATGGTTTGTTATTTTCTCACGTTCTTTCCATGAAAGGTGCACAGTTAGTTCTTTTCTCTTAAAAAGATGAAGTGGGTTGTAACCAGTGGAAAGTGGGAAGAATTATTTCTAACACCATCAGCAATTTCTGGCAATAATTTTTTTCTGGTCTTTTAGGCCGTTATACTTTAGTCTCAATTTCTAGAGAATCAGTTAAAGTAATGATGATTTGTGTGCATTCCTATCTGGTTGTCATCCACTCGATCTTGCAGAATTAGCTGTTAAAAGACACCTTGGCGATTTAGCTATATGCCTGCACCATCTTTTTTTGCACAAGATTCTGATGTAATCAGATTCCTGAGGCATCGTGGACCAATTTATTTTATTTACAATATACTTGAATGTGCAAAAAATTGATTTTGTTCCCTCAACCATACGGACTGACAAAAATTCCATCGTATTTCCATCTTGATTTTAGTGTGTAATGTATAATTTTTGGGAGAAGGAAATGCAGCTGGGTTAATATTTTTGTTATTCCAACATAAACTGCTACTCCATCTTATTTCCCTTGAAAGGTTCATGGATCCTTAATTAGATAACATGTTGATATGTCTGCATATTATTCGCCACACTAAAACAAATCCTAGATTCAAGCTTGTTTGTGGTTCTTGGGACCTAATATCACATAATAAAGCCAGAAACCCCTTTACATTCATTAGTGATAATATACACCATTTGTATTGGATAAAATTTCTTCTTTTATTAAGCCCCTTTTTGAGCTTCATTTTTTTATAATATATTTTGGAAAAAGTGATTTTTCTGAAGAATGTGTGGTTAAAGTTTAGGAAAAGTTTTGGATTTCCATGGTGGTTGAAAATGAGTTTGGAGAAAGTGAATTTTAGTGAATGGGGCTCAAACATGGGCTAAGCTTTTTCAAATGGCAATATAGGATGGGCTAATTTGAATTCTCTTAAGAATTATATTATAAGAATTCTTGTAATGCTTGAGCCGACAATTCAGGATTCAAAAATTAATAAAATTCCTCTTATTGCTTTGCTTTTGGCAGGGTCATTGATTTTGAAAAGGAAGACTGGGAAGGTGTGATTGATGGGTAACAAACGCATGGCAAAGTTGTTTGACCCGTACAAGATGTATATTGAAACCTTGCTGATTATGCCAAATTCAGATGGTCACCAAGCATTGTGGTATATTCTGTGTCCTCTCAGGGTTGTTGGGTTCTCTGATTATAATTGTTAAGTCATGGCTTCTAACCCAAAACCACATGGAATAGGTTGGAGTGGCCCCACTTAACATGTAATAAACATCATAACATTTTGCATCCCACCCTTTCTCATATGGGAACTCTCATGGGGGCCGAATACCCATTATTTTCAGACATAACTGATGCTGAAAGAAAAATACAGAGTGAAGGTTAGCACAAGTCCAAGTCCAAACCAAGCCCTGATATCATGCATAGAGAGAGGGGAGCATTTCATTTATTTATATCCTCAATAGTAACTATAATAATCATCATCAAGCTGGATTTTTGTAGTTGACAGTTTAGATTATGTTTTTATTTTACCAATTAGTGCTCCTTTTGTGCTCTTTTATATTTTTTAATTGCAATGGCAGAAGTATGGAACTGTAGATTGAGTTTGACCATGATTGCAAAGAACATGGGGGAAGTGATAAGCTAGACCAGGATTACGGTTAGCCACGACAGCTTCGTCAAAAGTTGATTCAGAATTCAACTGGCTAGCGAGCTAGGTCCGTGACACTTGGTCTTGTAAACCGGATACCGTTGAAGGCAAAGTAGCCGAGGTACTGTTTGCACCAAAAAACCAAATGTGCCAAGTCTGTGATTGAGCTCCATGCAATGGTATTTTCTTTGTGAGTTTTATGGTGATTGTGACTATTTGCTTTTGAGGTTAATTATTAATGTAATGATATTGATAAACCACTAATGTCGACCTTAATGAAAGATTGTAGGCAATTATTGGCTATATCAAGTAGTAATAGCCTTAGGATTTATAGGGCATCCTAGAAAAAGCAGGAAAAAAGTACAAAATTTTGGCTCATTGCTCTTTTTACCAAAGTGTAATGACTGATAATTCATTCACTTACTCACTCAATGATGTTTAATTTGTTGTTATTAGGCCATTCTTCAACAATTACCAACTTTCAAGTCAAACTAGTCCAATTTTCATTTTACAAAGTAATCTCTAACCATGGTACCAAATATTATATCAAATGCACTGATAAAATCATTAAATTATAAAAGGATGTAGTAGGAATTAAAATTTGTTGTAATATAAAATAAAGACAAAATAGGAATTACAAATATTTTAAAAATCGCACCAAATGAATAGTGTTACACCAAATTTGTAATACTATTCATTGTACCGTATGGTTGTAGATACCATTATGCCCTGTTTGGTCATCATTTTTTAAAATTCGTTTTTAATTACACATTTTATCAACTTTTATCAAAATTTACTACAAACATGAATTTTATTAAACTCAAACGTGGGCTAAGTATTCTTTGATCATTAAGTTTTACCTGAAGTTTACATGGATATAAATATGTGAAAGATTTATTTTAAAGTAATGTTATTTATTATCAGTATAGTTATATAACATCAGTTTAGGTGATACCAAGAGTTATTAAATGAAAAATACAATTAAATGAATCAAATAATTTTATATTTAATTGAATTTATCACATAATGACACATAAACTGGTACTTTAGCACCACTGGTGCTAGATAAAATTATTCTTTATTTTAATAATTGTGATTAACAACATCACGGGAATCAAATGAATATGTGCCTCAAGTATGTTGATTGTCTTATCTTTTATGAACATGAAGTCATATATCTATAAATAAACAAATTTTAGTCGAAGTTCTCATAGCAAAACACACGCGCTAACTAGTCGAGAGAGAATAACACTAGATTACTTAGCTTCAAAGCTCTAACATTCCAAGTCTCTTTAGTGAACACAAACAAAAACATCCCTATCACCATCCTCCATTACACCTCTTGAAATGACATCATTATTTCCCCTTAGTTTAATTTCATATCGATCCCTATATTATGGCTTGGACTTTGAACAATTGCCTCATTTTCAAACTACATCTTAACTTTCTTTGCATATTTCGTTGAAATTTAGAAAATTCTAATTTTATTCTATTGATAATGAAAGGCTCTATTTTTGTCTCTCAAATCATCAAATGGCACTTTCTTCATAATTGCGATGATTCCAAGTTTTGCAAATTCTCGGAATAACGTAGCCACAAGTAACTAAAAATCATACATAATATATAAACGATGACACGACCAATTATTCAAGAAATTATAGTTAATAGGAGATGCATACAATCAAGTCCGATTTTCAAGTTATTAGTTAGTTGAAGTATTCCTCCTACAAACCTATTTGGCAAATAACGACGATCCTTCACTTGAATTGATCTCGACCTTCGCTGCCACCCCACTCTTATTCAATCCAATCAACATTCTAGTTTATGTGCCGTGCAGTGTTGGATAAAAAACATTGTATACGTACGTGAGGGATTATTGTAAATTTATATACAAATACAAATGCAACCTAAATTTCAGGGTATTTGCCCATAAAAAATAAAGAAAGTTCCAGTTTGCCTGAAGATTGAGAAGAACATAATTTTGGATAAAGAAATGAATTTCTTGCCATATACAATGGTGATCATCTACACACGTGCAATGGCCCCACGTGCACACTATTTGTCTGTTTGACCAGTCACATGTCTGCATCATTCTCTAACACTATCTTTATTCATTTCAACCAAACATGTCCTTTCTTTTATTATTCTAAACCCTATTATTAATGAGTTTAATTAATAAATATTTGGGCTTGTCCTTATTAATTGTTTGGTTGGAACAATCTGATTAATATGATAACAAATAAAAGTATATTTTAAGTGCCATTCGAAATAATTTATTCAAACAAACGAATAGACAGCAGTTATTTTTTAAATTTGTTTTAACAATTTTTTTTCCTTACATTCTTTCGCAAGAGGAATATCCCATTCAACCATTTGTTATGATTAATTATATTCTATTATTAATTTTTTATTTTTCTATTAAAATAAAACTGCTCTTTCCTCTCGCGAACAAATTCTAGAATTTCCTCTAATATTGTTACCATAAACAAGTTTTTGTAAAAAAAATAAATAAATAAAATTATTAACTATTAATTATAATTGTAAATAATCAACAATTTTTTTTTTTCATTTTAGTTATTATAGATTATTAATTAATCATGTATAAATTCTTAAGAGGTGGAAAATACCCATTTGTCTCGGATTAAAAACAAATTTTAATTTAAGTTAAAAGTCAAATAATCAATATTAACCATAATTTTCATGGGTCCCACAGCTTTTCAACCACACATTTCAAAAACTTCTATCACAATCTACTAAAAATGTAATTTTAATCTCCAGCAAACACTCACTTAATGATAAGTTGTTTTTTCTATAAATTTTGATTTGACTAGAAGAATTATTTTGTCATTTTGTTTCAATTATTACTAGATCTATTGTAACTTGTACGATCTATATAATCATTTTCACAATGATTTTACAAAATATATACATTAATATATAAGAGCTTTTGAAAACAATAATAACACAAATAGTACAAAAACTTTGTTAATTTTAAAATCCAATGAGCGCAGAAAACAACACTCTATTCCTATTTATCTTGAATCGATAACATTATTTTTTCTCCAATACAATTTTTTTTTTCATAATAAACAAGGAAAGGAAAAAGGTAAAAATTAAAAATTCACTTTCTATAAAGATTCAATTTTCTCCAAACTCATTTTGAACTATAGATTTTTCCAATAAAATAAATTTGCACATGGACATATAGCATTTTTCATAGTTATTAAAAAAAACTAATTTTCACAAAATCTATTCTTGAAAACTTTACATCAAATTGACCCTTAAGGTGCGTTTGATTGTAAGGGTGGAAAATGAGTGGAAAGAAAATGTATTCCAGGAAAAATGTTTTGCCTAGAAATTATTTTATTGAGAATTGTCAATGAAGTGTGTTTGATTGGTATAATTTTCCACCTGGAAAATATTGAAATTTTGAATTTTTTGTGTTCGTCTAGCGTTGTTTTTCTTGAAAATTGTCGATTAAAGGAATAAAATTTATAACAATTGGGATAAAATTTGTTTCAATTGCAAAAAACAAAAAAAAACAAAAAAAAAAAAACAAAAAAACTGAAATTGACCAAATTGAATGCCCTTCTAATACAAAAACAGAGGCCCATCATATCCTCCTTTCCTCCGTCTTCTCCATCTTTCCTGGGCTCCCCTCTTCTCCCTTTCTCTTGGGCTCATGTCTTCTCCTTACCAGCAACAGCAACATCATCAGCGCCAGCGCCACTAGCAGGGGTAGCAATGTCCGGTTGGTGGAGTAATGAGGAGGAAGTAATAGTGGTGGTGCGCGACCGTGATTCTGAATGTTGGCGCTGAAATTCGGGCTGCAATGTGCGTGGTTCGCTGCAGTCGAAGTGGTATGGAATTGAGCCTGATTTAAAACGTTTCTTGGTGATATGGGAGCATGAAACTGCTCGCATTGATGAGTATTAGGTCTGTAATGGAGTATGGCTGTCGGCGTTGGAGGGTTGGCCGGAATTGGTGTTGAAATCGTGCGTGAAGGCTTGATTTTGAGCCCGAATTTTGTCTATTTTGGAGCTGTTATGTATAATTTTTGGTATGGAATTGAAAAGTGGGATGAGGACATGTTGACGGTGTGGAAATCAGGTGGTTTGTCTGGCGGCATGGTGGATAAATTTGGAGTTAAAGGTGCCGGTGGAGTGGATGATTTTGGTTGCAATTCCAGCTTGCCAAGAAAATGAAAAACGAATGAAACATGGGAAAATCAATTCAAGGATTTTGTGGAAAAGAGGGTCATGTGATGTTAAAATGGAAAATATTTTGCCTGAAAAATATACCCTATCAAACAGCAAAAAAGTTGGAAAATGGTGAAAATTTTCCATCTTCCATGGAAAAGATTGCCTATCAAATAGGACCTTAGTTAAAGCTGGTGTTGACGTGAAAGTCATCAAGTTGAGCCACTTAGACAATGTAATATACACAGAGGCGGTCTGGAAGGTACGCATGTGGTGCGACCACATTGGACCTCAACATTGTAGGGATATGGAAATATTTTTAGTTCTACACAATAATTTTAAAATTAAAATTTTTTATTATCGTGTTAGTTGAATGACATAATATTTGTGGAAAAAAGGGGTAAAAGTAGAAAAATAATAACTCTTATTTAACATTATTGTCCTAATTGTGTATCATACCAGAACATTTCATCTGAGCAAACGAAAATATTCACATGGTTTAGGCTCATTCGTAGCTAATTTCAATATGTTGTGCTAACTATTTTTCTTTATGAATTATTTTTTTATTAATTATAGGCATTTGACTTGACATGATATGCAATTGTCCTATAATTAAACTCATTGGATAATGCTAATTTAAAAGTATGTTGTAATCATTTTGACATTATTCCAAGACATAAATTTTTGCATTTTGATGGCGAATATTTATTTTAAGAGTTAAAAATTTTGCAGATTTTTTTATCTAAAGAAACAA